ATATATATATATGTATCTTCTTTTTCGTAAAAATTGCAGAAGCTATTGTCTTCAGGAAAAGATTGCAGCAGACACTGCTGCAGTGTGATTTTTCCTTGTGATTTTTCTTACGAAGAAATTGCTGTAGTTTTAACGAATTGAACGAAGAGCTGTCGCTAATTGACCGCACTATTCCGACACTTTGTTTTGCGGCAAATGTCATTCCTGATGAACATGTGATGTGATCGGAGCAGGAAGTGTCGAGATAATCAGATTTACCATGACACCAACGTCTCGCGAATCTGTCATTAATCTACTAAATGTCAAGGAGAATCCTGAGAACAAGGCGAATACGACGAATGAAGGTGAGAACGTATACGACCTGCAACCTAACCTGCCGGTAGAGACGTTGTATCATGCCGTGTACATTCCACTGGAATACAAAGATCAATCAGATGAAGAAGGTAATTAATCAAACGTCATTAATTTTTGCAGATGTTATTTGATCAAACATTGCACACAGGTCTGCTTTTGATCGTGCAAATTTTATTAAGAAAGAGAATGTAGTGATGAAATCATAGAACAAAATAATAATTATTATTATTACTATTATTAATATTATGATTCCTTCTTATAGAAACTTATGTCTTTCGCGAGATGCAAGATGCCTTAAAACGGATAAACATGTATAAAAAAGGCCGTTTGAAAAGTTTTAAGAATTATTCTGATGCTGTAGCATATGCAAGAACTGGATACAAACAATCTTCTTCCAATCATCCTGTGACAGTTATAGCACAAGAACAATCGAGTAATTTTAGAGCACCAAGCACACAGGACTTAATAGCTTTTAAATGGTTAATTGAGAGTGGAGATGTGAAGGCTGTGAAGAATATTGTATGGGAAAATCCGAGATATCTAATTAGTAGTGGAGATACACCTGCCCTTTTGCAGGTAAATATGTAACTACAAGCAAATTTCTTTATATTTTATTATCTTATTTTTTTATTCTAATGTTTAAATATTAAAAGTGTAAATACTTTTATTTGTATATGCAAATGGGTACAAAATTATATTGTTGCATATAATCAATATTTCTATTGATTTTTATTGT